TATATATATATATATTATTATTATTATCAAGAAGAAACTCCAGGTTCATTATCATCGTCATAATTGATATTAACAAACTCCAAAATTTTAGATCTAAAATAAAAATGGATTTTGAAGGGGGAACACACATCAACAATTGAGTCAATTGACTCACCAAAACCTTTTCCTAAAATAATATTAAAAAGAAGTTTATATAAGGTTAACACATTAAAATGTAGAATTAAGGTACAACTCTAAAAATATAGTGGTCTTCCATCCATCCTTTGTAGGCTTCATTTTGCTCCTAGGTGGAATTTTCAGATGGTGATGGTGGTGGTGGTGGTGCATGCATAGATTTGGTGACTATGTAAGCCACTTTGAGAGTAGTGAGTAAGAAAATGACCTTATATTGAATGACCTTATATTGGCATCTCTAAAAATTCATTCCATTAAGAAATCGTGGCTCTTGACTTTCAAATAAGTCATGATAGTCTCCTTGTTTTTACACATGAATATTGTTTTGAGTTATTGGAAATCAATTGGGTGAAAACGGGGATAAGAATGAATGAAATAAGCAAAAACCTTGTTGTTTTCGGATACTCATGAAGGCTTTTTTATAATGATATTTGCCTCCCTTCGATATTGTAATATGTGTGTATAAAAAGGGTAACTTGTCCTCATGATATAAGAAAAACAAAAGGTCTAATTCTCAAAGCGCTGTAAACACCAGAGTCTTATGTTGTTTAGAGAGATAAAAAGAGAAAAACAAATAGAGAGAGAGGAATGAGTGTTATGTTATGCTCTATAAAAATTCGTAGAGAATGGTGTAAGAACGTGTATTTCACGAATGGGGAAAAGGACCCCTTTTATAGAGTGCTTAGGGATTGCAAATGTGCTATTCAAGTGAACGGTTTCATGTTGTTGCACTTCACAAAGTAGTTGTTCGAACACATAAAAGCTTTTATCAATGCTTTTTAGCCGTTGAATGTAAACTATTACATGCATCTCAAGGCTGGTATCAATTTCAGGTGCCTTGAGGCTTAGACGGTTAAAGACTGTTGGCATATTTTCAAAAAAGATATCAAACATCGAGCCAAATTGTTACATGCATATCAAGGCTGGTATCAGTTTTAGGTGCCTTGAGGCTTCGACGGTTAGAGATAGTTGGTGCCTTGAGGCTTCGACGGTTAAAGACTATTGGATTTTCTACATATGCCATATTCATAAGATGTCGAACATCAAGCCAAATCGTTACATACATCTCAAGGTTGGTATCAGTTTCAGGTGCCTTGAGGCTTCAACGGTTAGAGACCGTTGGATTTCCTACACATGCCATGCTTACAAAAAAGATGTCAAACCTCGAGCCCAACCCATATGTGCACTCGGTCGATAGTCACCTCATGCATTGATGCGAGTGTGCGAAGTGTGCCATCAAGCGCCAAGCGCCTCATGTGCTCTACACATATACTATTTCTCACCTTTGTTCTAAGAGTATAAGACATGAGAGCGCCCACATGTAAAAATCAATCAATCTACACTCTCATATTTAATATGGGACTAAAAACCCATACATTTCTCTCTATAAAATAAAACTTAGAAAAAACACACAAAACACTATGTTATTTTGAAATAAGGAAAATTACAAAAAAACCCCAAGACTACACTTTTTATGCGACTTACTCCCAACCTGACTTTTTTTCTCACTTTTTTCTCCAAAACAAACTTTCTATGTAAATACCCCCTAAGGGAAAAAGTTCAATTTTTTTTTAGATGGAAATACCCTTCCCATACACAAAAATCATTTTGGCTAGATTTGACGTTGACTTTTGGACCCAGTAGCACATTGCCGGACCCCACCATCACACTGCCATAGTGCACAAGTGCCAGACCACCCTAAGATAACTATCGGACTGAAATTGAGTACTGCCGGACCATCCTTTACATAGTGCTGGAGCCCTGGAATCCAGTAATATCTAGTGCCGGACCGCCCTTTGCAACTGCTGGACAGCCTTTTGTAACTGTCGGACCGCACTTTGCACAATGTTGGGGCCCTACTGCCTGGCCGCGCTTTACACAGTGCTGGAGCCCTACTGCCAGATCGTACTTACACAGTGTTGGAGCCCCTATTTTGGCGGGATAGAGAAGAGAGAGGTGTGGGTAAGGTAAAAGTAAGGGAGGGTAGTTTAGGTATTTTTTTATTTCTATTTGGTTGGGGGTATTGGCATAGAAAGTGTATTTTGGGAAAAAAAAATGAGAGAAAAAGTTAAGTTGCGATTAAGTTGCATAAATAGTGTAGTCTTTTTTATAATTTCCACACCTGAGTATTTTTCAAAACAAAAAATACTAACATAATCTTTGTATAGCATCCTCCTAATTAGTTTGGCCAACCCCAGCATCACTCTTGGATTTCATCTTAGGCGCATCCACCCATACCACTTGCTCTAATGTTGGTTTTTTCTAACATAATATTGTCTATTCCCATTCTGCTCTCCATTCTTCATAGAAGGCCCAATATTTGTTTCCTCTACCGCCTTCCCACTGCTCTCATCCACCAATTATGCTCATTTACATTGTTTGCTATGAAATAACTTTCTATTCTTGTCTCCTTCTTTTAGTCATTGTACCCTTTATCGTTGATTTCAATATATCCCTTTTATATTTTGTTTCCAATATATCTCTTCTATATTTAACATTCTTAGAGAAATGAATTGAGCCGCTCTATTCTGTATGTATTGCATTCCTATAATGGTAAACTAAAATTGTATAACAATCATCTCTAACCTTTTCACCTTGAACCATAAGTGCTTGAATCGGAATGGCAGTGACCCAACTCTAGTTTTTCTTATCGAAGAAGATAGGGAAATAAATGTACTCAGTGAGGGCCTCATATTTAGTCATTAGGACTCTTCATGATTTTGGCTGTTTGAGGATCCAAAACTCTGTAAATCCATTTTCTTGCCCACCTTAATCATTAATTTATATAAAAAGAGATTTGGAGCCTTAGATGGTTTCATTATTTGTTAGATGGTTTGTATTTCAAATTGTAAATCCCTACAATCAAGGGATCGCATTTGGCATGTATAATTATCCTCTTTTGGATCAATGAAAAAAAATTGATTCTCCTAAACTGACATGGTATCAGAGCGATTCTAAGCCCATCTTGCAAAACCTAACCCTAGCCTCTGTTTCCTGAGCTTCGTCTATCTGCAAGTCAGGTACACGCCCAATCCTCCATAGACGACAATATATGAAGCCCACGATACGTCTCTGCGTGTTCTCCATCTTCTTGTATCGCTCTTCCACGTTGTTTTTTGGTTAAACTCTGCAACCTCTAATATTTGTTTTTCTTTCCCTTTATGAAAGAGATCAATAACGCCCTTTCCCTTCTGTTTTCTTCTCTGCGTGCTTGTGTGTGATGGACAAACATGCACCTCTCTCTCCCACTCTCTCTCTCTAGAAACAGCTGCCCAACATTATAGCCTCTATCTCCTTTTCAGAAAGCAGAGTGCATTTGGGCTAGAGCGAAGCTTTTCCTCAAACAAATGTATTACTTGGTGGAAGAGAAACATTAAACTGAGATGAGAGTTTTGCATCTTGTGCCATTTCATAAGGAGAAACAGTCTTTTTGGGAGGATCCACTCACCTGCTTCTCCTCCATAGCACAATTGCCAACAGCAAACCCCATGCAGAGAACGTTCTTAAGTTGGAATTTGACAATGGCCTTTGTCTCATTCACCTTTGCCTCTAGTGATTCTTGGTGAGAAACCAGAGTGGGAAACTTCCGTGCCTTGTTGAGACCAGGACCCAAAAGCCTTGGGTTCTGCTTGATGATTGTTTCTGATGCAAGAAAGGCGTGGTAGTTCTTGGCGAGTTTCTTCATCAGCTTCTTATTCTTATTCATCTTCTTCAACCCTTCCTGCATCTGAGAATTGAGAGAAGATAAAGTCGGGTTTTATTGGAGTTTTGGAGTGCCTTTATGGAAATTTGGAGTGCCTTTGTGCCATCTCTCTCCCTCTCCTTCTCTCTCTAAATTTTCTTGTGCCTGTCTTTTGGCGTGAATGTGCCTCCATGTGAGAAGTTGGAGTCTCCAATAATAAAAGAAAGAAGCTCCAGTGAGAAGGGCCAGAAAACACTCGTTATTTTGGTGATTTCACCGCGACACTAGACGACACTTGTAATCTATTGACACAGTTCCATCAAATTTCCCTATTCCTTGCTATTGTCATGGACAATCAAATACCTCCTCTTTTGAAGACTCAACCAATGTCATCTCTGATGGAAACACTATGACCAATGGTAATATTTTTTGTTCCTCTGTTATTGATTTCACTAGCCTTTTTCATTTGACCAACAATGACAATCCTAGAAAGATTCTTGTCTCTCACATCCTTGAAGGTGAAAATTATATGGAGTCGAGCTATAACCACTGCTTTGAGTACCAAAAATAAGCTCTCATTTGTGGATGGTTCTTTAATCATACCTCCCATCTCTTCTTCTAATCATCTTTTATGAAAAAGATGCAATGACATCGTCCGATCCTGGAACCAAAATTTTGTCAATAAAGATATTGCTAATAGTATTTCCTATGAAACCATTGCTTAAGGCAAGTGGGATGACCTAAAAGATCGTTTTTCTCAAAGCAATGCACCTCGTCTCTTCAAGTTATGACGAGGCCTTGCACTTGTTTCTCGAGGTTCTTCCATAATTTCAGCTTATTATACCAAACTTAAATCTCTTTGGGAATCCATGAGGCTTATCATCCAATTTGAAGCTAGATCCTTCTTATGGACCCTCTTCCTAATGTCAATAGAGCTTTTTCTCTTCTTCTTCAAGAAGAAAAGCAGCGGCAGGTGGCTACAAAAACAACTCCTTCGGAAGATGCAGTTGTATTTGTAGTCAATACTGCTACACCTACTACAAACCGGCCGGCCCCAGCATCCTTTTAACAATACAAACAAAACAAAAGGTCATCGCAAACAACGGCCGAAGTGTGATCATTGTGGTTGGGTAGGCCACACCATTGACACATGTTATGTTCTTCATGGTTATCCACCGAGCCATCGATTGCACCAATCGAGCAAAGAGACATCTTCTAAGCCTACAATAAATGCAAAAAACACAATTGCTGCAAATTCAAATCAAAGTAGCCCACAATTTACACAGGATCAATATCGCCGCTTGCTTTCTATGGTGACTGAAGGTAATGCACAGCCAATGGTCAACTTTGCAGGTAACTCCACATCCTCTCCATCTTCTATTCCTCTCCATACTTGGATTGTTGACACATGTGCTTCTGATCATATGATTTTTGACACATCTTTGTTTCATTCATCTTACACCTGTTTCTCAAATAGCACATGTCAAACTTCCAAATGGCTCATTTTCTTCAGTAACTCATATTGGTTCTGTCTTTTTAACACATACACTCTGCTTACATCAAGTATTGTGTGTTCCTTCTTTTGGATTCAATTTACTTTCCATCAGCAACCTTACTGCATTCTATTCATGTTTAGTGACATTTATCATGATATATGCATTTTTCAGGACCGGTATCAAAAGGCGACGATTGGAACAGCTAAGCAGCTTGGTGGTCTCTACTATTTTGAAGCCCCTCCACTGAGTCGTACTACTCTTTCGTCCATTTCAGTTGGTTTTGATTTATGGCATAGATATTTAGGACATGTTTCTTCTACTCGTTTGAATTTGTTAGCTAAGACTGTTGATGGGATCTTTGTTTTCTCTCCTAGTCATTGTGATGTCTGTCCCTTAGCTAAACAAACAAGATTACATTTCGTTTCGAGTTCTATTTCATCTACTGCACCTTTTGATTTGATTCATTTTTGATATTTGGGGAGGTTATTCCACTCCTTCCCATTGTGGAGCTCATTATTTTTTAACTCTTGTTGATGATTTTACTTGTTTCATGTGGGTATTTCTTATGCAAAACAAAATTGAGACTTCATCCTTATTAAAATATTTTTTTTTCATTTTTATATACTCATTTTAAATGCTCTATTAAGCACATATGAACAGATAATGGCTCCAAATTATTTTCTAGTTCTCTTCAACATGGGGTCACCCATCAACATAGTAGCGTTTACACACCGCAACAAAACGGTGTTGCCAAATGCAAATATCGCCATATACTTGAAATGGCACGTACTTTGCACTTTCAAAGTAATCTTCCTCTTACCTTTTGGGGAGATTGCATTCTTACTGCCACATATTAATAAACCGGTTACCAACACCTTTATTATCGAATAAATCCCCATTTGCGAGTTTTTTGTTGCCTTTGTTACGCTTCTACCATTACTTCAAATCGAGATAAGTTCGACCCTCGCACACGTAAATGTGTTTTCCTTTGTTATCCCCAAGCTCAAGAGGGCTACCGTCTTCTTGACATTTCCACCAATTCTATTTTCACTTCCCGTGATGTAGTATTCCATGAGAACATTTTCCTTTTTCAAAATATCCCTTCTAACGATTCCTCTGTCATTTTACCATTACAATACTTGATGACTCCCCACCCCTTGATTCATATGATACGCCAAACACTACTGATCCCATCACTTCCCTACCTAGTTCCCCTCTTTCTCCTCATCAAGACCAATCTCATGACCCCCCACCCACCCCTGTCCCAGCACCAATCTCTATACCACCCATTCGGCGTTCTCAATCACCTTCTTATTTGAAAGACTTTCACTGCTCCTTCCACATTTTCTTCTAGCACTGGTTCTACCAAAGGTACACATCATCCTCTGTCTCATTGCATTTCTTATCAACACTTGTCTTCCTCTCATCAACATTTTGTTTTAGCCCTCTTTTCTATTCAGGAGCCAACCTCCTATTCTCAGGTATTCAGGAGCGTATGTCCTATTTTCAGGCTGTGCAAAACCCCAAGTGGCAAGAGCCAATGCAATGTAAGCTTTAGGCACTTGAGAAGAATCATACCTGGACCCTTACAGCTTTACCTCCTGGGAAAACTCCAATTGGATGTAAGTGGGTATATAAAGTCAAGTACCGATTTGATGGTTCCATTGAACGCTACAAAGCCTGTCTTGTTGCCAAAGGTTATACCCAACGTGAAGGATTGGACTATCATGAGACCTTTGCACCAGTTGTAAAATTGGTCACTGTTCGTTGTTTATTAGCCATTGCTTCAGTTCGTAACTGGTCTTTGCACCAATTATATGTGCATAATGCATCTCTTCACGGTGACTTGGAAGAAGAGGTATATATGAGTCTTCCTCTGAGATTTTCTCGACAGGGGGAGACAAGGGTTTGCCGGTTACACAAATCCATATATGGCCTCAATCAGGCATCCCGCTAGTGGTTTGCCAAGTTCTCCTCGGCCCTTATTGATGCTGGCTTTACCCAATCTAAAGCGGATTATTCCTTGTTCACTTAGAAATCGTCATGATGGCTTTGTGATCATTTTGGTTTATATTGATGATATCATTGTTACGGGCACTAATTCACATGCCATACAGTCTCTCAAATCCTTCTTACATCTCCACTTCCACCTGAAAGATCTTGGCCCTCTCAAATATTTCCTTGGTCTTGAAGTGGCACGGTCTAAACAGGGTTTATGTATCTCCCAACACAAATATACCCTTGAGATCATTGAAGAAATGGGCCTCCTTGGTGCCCGACCTGTTCACCTCCCTATGGAGCAAAATCTCAAACTACGTCATGATCATGACATACTCCTTTCTGATCCCACCATGTATCGTCGTTTTGTGGGTCGTCTCATTTATCTGACTCTAACTAGACCCGACATCATTTATGTTGTTCATATCCTTAGTTGGTATATGAGTCAACCGTAGCGGCCGCATTATGAAGCAGCCCTACGCCTTGTTTGATACTTAAAACTTACACCGGGACAAGGTTTATTTTTTCCCTCAGACAGCTATCTTCAGCTTCGAGTTTTCTGTGACTCTGATTGGGCAAGTTGCCTTGATACCAGCCACTCTACCACTGGATATTGTGTTTTTCTTAGTCATTCTCTTATATATTGGAAAACCAAAAAGCAACATACCATTAGTCAGTCTTCCGCTGAGGCTGAATACCAAGCTATGGCTACTGCCAGCTGTGAGATCACATGGTTACGCTCCCTGCGGTGTGACTTAAGAGTTCCTCAAGCACCACCTATCATTCTCTATTGCGACAATCAAGCTGCATTATATATTGCTGTCAATCCTGTGTTTCATGAATGGACAAAACACATAGAGATTGATTGTCACAACATTCGAGAAAAGATCCAAAATGGAGTTCTTCGGACCTCCTACATTTCAACAGCACGGCAGCTTGTTGATGTATTCACTAAAGTTCTTGGCCGAAACTAATTCAATTTTTTGATTCGCAAGTTGGGTGTTCTCGATATTCACCCTCCAACTTGAGGGGGAGGGTTGGACAGTTTTATTATTTGTTAGATGGTTTCTATTTCAAATTGTAAATCCCTACAATCAAGGGATCTCATTTGGCATGTATACTTATCCTCTTTTGGATCAATGAAAAAAAAATCGATTATCCTAAACTACCATTAAAAGTAACCAAAGTTAGTTTTTGGATTCAAAAATTTGGGGATGTAACCTCTTCCATCCTTGGATTAACCATAATAACTATAATATAAAGAATCTCCTAAATTTACCCTCTACGTAATTGAAAAAAATAAGTTCTCAAGATTTAATAGAGACCAACCAATTTTTAGATGGTGAGATGAAGTGATAGAAAACTCAAATTTCAATTTTTTTTAGAACAATCAATTAAATAATTCTTAAGTGGTTTCCAAAATTTCAAATTAAAAAAGTCTTCCCAATTAGATCGTTAGATCGAGGAAGTACAAGTAAAGTAAGCTCTTAAGGGAGCATTGTATATGCGCCCTAAAAGTAAATAACACACTAAACATTGTATTGTAGCATCCTGCCACCCTTACTACCAAGCCTATAAACCACCCCCAACACCCTACATTTAGAGCATTCAAAGAGCTCCAAAACCATTTTCCTTATGGTGGGGGTCAGGTTGGTAGACAATCGGGTTTGGGTCCTAGTGCATGTTTTCGACCTGACGCGTTGGGCCTAGGTCCAAATGACTTGGACCTGACCGGGGTTGGGTCCAGTTCCGGGCACCGTTTCGACTTTATCAGGTTTATAAAAAGTATAAAATATGGAAAATACTTACTACAAGTAAAAGGTCTGGTTTGCATAAGGTTGCAACCTTAAACAATCCAATTAAGGCGCATCTCTAAATTTTATTATAAATATAATTTTGATATAAAAAATTCTTAGGGTGAATTGAGAATTTATTTTCATATTTAATTATAAAATTTTAGACTCAAAAAATGATTCAAATTAAATAGATCTATAAACACATGAAAATCTTGAAAATGGATGGTTCAGATAATGTGTTGCAAGATACACTATTTTGTAGACCCGAAATCTTTTTTTCTTTCATATTCAAACATCTCAATGCCGACATGATCAATTAGAGGGTTTTCCAACATCCAAACAACTTTTTATAATGGATTTTTAAGGTGCATATTTAATTCTACATTTTAAAGTTACAACTTCCAACATCCAAACAACTTTTTATAATGGATTTTTAAGGTGCATATTTAATTCTACATTTTAAAGTTACAACTTTATGTAAACTTTTTTTAAAAGTAAATGGTATCTTTTAATACTTTTTTCATATAGATATATTTATATGTATAATCAATTATTTTCATTTTTTTTATTTCTAGAGATTGAGTCTAAAACTAGGTCCGGGTTAGGTTGCGTCCAAGTGACTTGGCAAAGTTAGGGCGTCACCAAACCCGCATCCATATATAAAATGTAGCCATAAAAAATGGACGGACCTACGGTGGGGTCAAAAAAAATAATTAAAAAAAAAATGCACGTTGTTGCACGCCAACTCCTAAAAGCAACTCCCATTTGATAAGACTTTTCATGATTGCACTATCGAATCCCATTTTATAGGTTTATTGGAATCCAATAAAGGAAGTGAATAGTATGACCCTCCCAAACCTATGTGTGTAAGACTTTAAAGGATCGTCATTAAATTTAATATAGATCTTTAAAAAAGTTACGTTTCACACCCATGTGATAACTTTTCTAAAGATCTGTATCAAATTTAATGGTGATCCTTTGGGGTCCAACACACATGGGTGTGGGAGGGTCTCATAGGATCATTACTCATTATAAAAACCTCCAAACTCTTTCTAAGGATGTTTCTTTAGTATTTTTTATAGGGAAAGTTTCTATACGTCCCCTACAGCATAGAAGATCTATGCTTCCCCTACCATCCACGCGTCCAATTTTGATCAAGAGAGCCACTCACCTTTTGATCTTAGATTCGACGTCTCAAATAATTTTATTTTTAGTTTTTTTATAAAAATTGTATTGAATATAAAATTTGGTACGTGCCATCTTCTCATTGGGGCGCACCTATAAAAAATATTAAAAATAATGTTTCCATAAAATATAATGACCAAATACCCCTTGAATCTTTTAGGGGTATTTTGGTCATTTTATTTCATTGAAAATATTTGTTTTATATTTTTCACTATTGCAAGTTTAATAGAGGATTGGATGTCAAAAATTTGGTGTCAAAATAATTTATATCAAATAAATTAAAAATAAAATAGTGTAGAGACGTGACATTGTGATTGGGACAATCTTAGCTCTCTATTTAGAATCGACGGTTGGATAAGGGGAAGTATATAAATTTTATATTGTAGGGAAATTATCGAAAGCTTGCCTTTTTTGATATCCCATCACTAACTCTAAAATTATTATTGTTATTATTATTATTATTATTATTATTATTATTATTATTATTATTATTATTATTGCACTCCCTCAAGTAAAAAAAGTAACTTTTATTTATTTATTTATGAAATACCTCTCTTAGGTATTCTTTTACTTTTTTTCTTATTGAAGTCGGTTGGCATACATTGTGCCAGAATGACGCACAGTTAATGATGTCTATTCGGCACTGTGAGAAACTGTATTTTTGTATAATTGGGCCTTAAGCCCCCCATAAGAGGTGTATTATTAAGCTTCTCAAAGATGTGAACAAGAGCCCCAATTTATGGGGTTAGAAAGTTGTGTAGTACTATAAAAACTAACATATGTAATGAACCACCTTCTTAACATGGGTACATATAAAATGAATGAATTATTATTCCTAAAGATAAGTGTAAGTTTCTATAGTTCCACATTCCCCCTCAAACTCAAGATGAGTTAAGAGAGAACATCTTGAGGTTCGACATCTGAACAAAGGCCTTAGTAAAGAAGCAGGAACAGAAGAAGCTTGAGCTGCAAATTAATGATCCACAGAAACCGACATCAAGTCTTCCGGTGCAAGGCATGACCGATAGAAGTAGATATCTTCATGCTCAGATTGCTTGAACAACAAGCACAGAAAGCGGCCGATCTCAGGAATAGACAGCCTTAAGAAACAGACGGCCTCAGGAATAGACGGCCTTTGATCATCAAACAGGAGGCCCATGGAAGAGCCAACATAAATCAGCAACGGATCAACAATTGGACATTAGATTTGGAGTTGAGAACAGTAAAATCTAAAATACATTAGATAGTCGACACACGACTTAACAGAGAGATAGATCAGAGAGTCGACACACGACTCAACAGAGAGATAGATCAGAGAGTCGAAACATGACTCAGTAGAGAGACAGATCAAAGAGTCAAAACACGACTCGACAGAGAAACAAAAATAAAAAGTCGAAACACGGCTTGGCAGAGAAACAAAAGCAGAGAGTCGAAACACAACTCGGCAGAGAAAAAAAACAGAGAGTCGAAACACAACTCGACAGAGATTTTTGCAGATAGAGTAAATCGACCATTTTCATAAATGAATTTAGAAGCAGTTTCAGATCTCGCTCACCAAGGGTCCGGCATTAGAGGGGAGCATGACAGCAATGGTTATCATGGGAAAGTTTCTTGGAAAAGCACACAAGTTTTTTTTTTTTTAGAATGAAAAGAAAGCAAGGGAGAATGGACATGAAAACGAATAGGAAGCAGCAGGAGGTTGGCAGCCATCACTTCATGGGCCCTGATGGTGGCCGAATGCGAGTGGCCAGGCAAAGATGGGGAGAAGTGGAAAACAAGCCAAACAAAGACCAGAAGGTGAGCTCTTTTGACAAAGTTTCCGGTTATGGCGATCACTAAGAAAGTAATTTCTCAGAGGTGGAGTATGAAGCAAAGCTTGGAGAACCGAATTCATGAAACAAGTATTGCCCAGATTGTTCACACCCCGTAAACCCCATGGAAAACATGAATTACCCAAAGGGCTGGAACCCCGTTGCATCAAAAGCAGCTCTCGCGAATTGGAAGACTTACCAAAAGAAATAAAAAAGAGAAGGGGGTTTTCAGAGAATGACTCCATAAAAAGAGGAAGACTTACCAAAGAAATAAAAAAAAAGAGTGGAGAGAAAAAGAGGCTAGAGATATCAGACACAAAAAGAGAAGAGCAGAGATGGAGAGAAAAAAAGGAGAGCAGATATAGTGAGGGATTAGATGAGTGAAACAGAGGGCTGCCAAGGGCATTGATGACAGCGGTCAAAAGTTGTAGAGAGAGAAAAGACAGTAATTCTGTTTAGTAGAGGGAGAAAGAGGCTAACAGTCAAGATGAAGGCATGGAACAGAGAGCGGGGAAAGGAAGAGCAAGAGAGCGAGGGGCCGTAAAAAGAGAGGCCCGTGGAAATATAGAAACTTACACTTATCTTTAGGAACTACATTTCCACAGGCACAATGCTCACGGCCCTTGTTAAAAAGTCAGTCCAATACATATTGTGCTGAACCGGTTATGTGCCCGATTGGCATCATTGTTTTTAATGAAGCTGGTTTGATACATATTTTTGCCGAACCGCTTGGATAAGGATTAAAAAAACAAAAAAAACATGCAATTAGAAGATGTTTTTGTCAAAAAAAACAAAAAACAAAAAAATCATCGTAGATGCCAAAAAAAAAAAAAATCAAAGTTAGTGACGGGGTATCAAAATTATTTTTTCTAACGGGTTACTTGTTCATTGCAAATGGCTGTGACACAAATAAGTCTTCTCTTCATCTAATATCCAAGTGGACATGTGACTTTTTGAGAGTTGAAACCATATTCGTAATTACTCTGATGCTTTTTTGTTTTGACAAGGGTTAACTAATATAATCATATGCCTAAAGATATTGGTCAAAAAAATAAATGCCTAAAGAGGTTTGGGTGTTCCTTTTATTCAATTTGTGGTTCCTTTTTTCCTCTAGTTTCAGTTAATCTAGCAGGAGATTGTACGAGAACCTACTGATCGCAAAAATTGTGTGTATGAGTACAA